GGGTGGAAAAGACACAAGATTCCAGGCTATTTCTCTGGCTGATTAGTCCATTGATTTAATGTAGGTTTAAATGCATTATTTGGCCTTCACTGTAACATTAACACGGTGTAAAACTGTTTTTGTTTCCAGATCAATTTGTATCTCAGGATGGAGAAAAAGCCCAATAAGAAAGAAGAACTCAGTATTGTGAATAATGTTTTGAAGCTAGCTACAAAACTAATGAAGGTAAGCCCAAATTTTCACTGAAACTAAACGCAGTTCCCAGTGAAGGTTGTTATCCAGTCCGTGTAGAGAATGCAATTATAATATTATAACTTTGCAGTGAGTCCAGCTGGGCATTTTTCTTTCCTCAATCCCTGTCATGTCTCTGTTGGTACTCTCTAACATCCATCAGCGTAATCACTCTTTCTTCCTCACTACTGATCTCCTTGGGACAGCCCTAATAACTTTATGCTGAAGGATATGCTATAAATTTGATTGTATTGCAATATGTAATTGTTATATTTCTCATGAAGGCCAAGTGGAATCCCCTTTGTCAGTGGTTTTTCATCCTTAATAAATTCTGGCTTTGATCATTTTTAGCCTCAGGGTATGGGTACCCATGTCATAAATCTTAGATAACATTTTCTTCCTCCTTACATCTTCCAGGAGCTCGATACTCCTTTCAGACTGCTGGGTCTCACAGTGAACCCTCTGATCTATAACATCACCAAAGTTGTCATTCTCTCTGCTGTGTCTGCCGTAGTCAGCGACCTGCTTGGCTTCAACATCAGAGTGAGTAAAGTTATAATGAAAAATGTTGAAATTTGCCTAAAAAGACAGGAAAAATAGATTTAACATGCACATCCTTGATCACTCTGGGCTCCATGTTTTGTTTTGTTTTGTTTTGTTTTTATCTCTCAAGAAAAAAATAAAACTTTATCAGTGCAACTTGATTGTTGTTGCTCATATAAGCCTGAACTACTCTAATTTGAACCATTTAAATAGTGTCTGTGTTTAAAATTGAATATAATGACTACAACTATAAATATTTGCTATAATAAATCACCAGAGGAGCAACTAAAAGTACAGGCTGTACATTTAGTTCTAGTACAGCTGCATGTTGCCCTCTAGCTGTTGGAGCTGTTAGTAGCCTACAGAGTTGACCTGGAAACCTTGCTTTGGTTGAAGCCATCTGGCAGACAAGCTGGAAATGTGCATTTTGAGATTTCAAAATATTTAGCATGGGAATGATAAGAGGAAAAACACGAACTAAAGCTGCACAGTGACAAACTCCCATGAGAAGCTTAACCAAATGAGAAATATATATTTATTTGGTTGCTTGAAGACAGCAGTATTAACAAATCTTTACTACACTTAATACTTACTTGATTAGTATGTAACTAGAGCATATGATGTGAAAAAACTACTGTAAATTCCTGTTTATATGTGATTTACGCAATTGAGAAACCTTATGTTAATGTGTTCTCTTTACAACTGTAGAAAAGTGTGACATTGTCTTTATGAAATACAATTCCAAGCTAAACAAAGCTATTATCCTCACGCGTCTGGCTCTATTCTTAATGCAGAAACATGATACATACAGAGTATATACATAAATACATACAGAGTAAATAGGGCTTCTTTGAAAACAGAATAAAAGGTTTCTGGCACAATAAGAGTCTAAAGAGGCCGAAGCTCTAGCAACACTTGTAGTAAAGTCAACAACTTTATTCCTTGACCAACTCGTTTCAGTCTGTGGCCTTCATCAGGGTCATGAAGAATTGTATACTGCATACAGCACTTTAAATAACATATGTGTTAGCATGAGTCCAGTATACTTATCCACCATTCCACTTAATTTTGTGATTACGTAGAAAAAGAATGTTACAAAAATTTAAACAGCCAGTCATCTACATAGAGTATATGTATCCACCAATGAGGCAGCAGCAAGGGCGGGCTGGGGTAAATATGGAGTTTCCCAAAGTATTGAACTGATAGTTTAATAAATTTAACCAGCATGTGAAGAGTCTACTTCAGTTTTGCTAGCTATAGATGCGGTGGGCATCGGTGGGCACAGGCCTGACCTCAGGCCTGTGCCCACCGATAACAAAACTAAACATCCTACACACACCCTCATTTCCTGCCACACTTTTTACAGCTCCTTGTATACATGGTTAAATGAGCTGGTGCAAAATACAAGCACTCATTTGAGGCAACACATCACTCCAGTCCTGGCAGGATGACACTGGCATCTCTTTCATTCAGATTTATTCATAGCTTTTAAAATACTACATGGTTTGGCTCGACTTTAAATCTCATAAGTCTTAACTCCTTATTTTGCATGTGCTGGCTACTGGTTCCACAGTCCATGATTAAGACAATGGGAGACTGTGATTTTAAATGTCTTTTAAATGCTTTCTCTTCACATCTGTTTTTAAATGGATTATTTTGCACAGTAAGATGACTAACTTTTTCTTTTTAATTGTTTTGTTTCTTCTCTGCTTAATTTCCAGCTGTGGAAAATCAAGCCTTAAAGGTGAAAACTACAAACCACTAACAGTCAGACACTGGAGACTGCGGACATCTTCTCATCGCCGAAAAGTGTGCAAACCTACTGACACTAAACTCTGTTATCGGTGCCTTCCAACTGAGCTTCATCAGTCCTTCACAAGCCTGAGATACTCTGAAAGTCTCTCACACGCCACAACGCTGGCTGCTCAGCTGACCTGGCATCACATTTTCCATCAGCGTTGCCACAAACTCAGTGCCTCACCTCTGACTTCTGAATGTTCTCTAAATGGTTAAAAATAGCAGCAAGCGGAGGTCTGAGCTCTTTCCAGGCTCCTGTGACAGATTTACACATGTTTCTTGTACATATATGTGGGCATGTGAATGATCAGATAATGTGTAAAGGTTGCTTAGTCTTATTCACTGTTATTTCTTTTAAATATAGTAAAAGTAAGTGTGCCAGTAAATCAAAATAGATGGCCAGATGTGTAATTTTGTTTTCCATAGGACCGAACTTTTATTTCAACCTTTTGTATTATTTAAGGGAACACTGTGATTCTGGGTTGGTTTTATTTATTTGGGGGTTTTAGCAATTGTTATGTTAAACCATCGTCTTTTGACCACTATCTGCATTTTATAATGAGATCTGTAATGCTGAATAAAATAACTATGCAAAGAAGCTAGTTGTGCTTATTGTAAAAAAGAAAAAAAAAATCTTCGCTTTATGGTGAAAAAATAAAAGGATTTTCACCCTTCAGTCTTTGTGTAGCGCTTTTTCTTTTCTTGCTCTTGCGCCTGATCCTCTGCAGAGCCCTTGTGGTTAGGGGGTGTGTGCTTTGGCGTAGGCTGACGTGGATCTATTCTTGACGTTACGGTAGAGGAATGTCGACACGCACCTCCAGCTTGGAACGATACCAGCCGGCTGAGGAGGCACTTCAGGACCAAGGACAGGCCGACCAGACTGGCTCCTCCAACCGAACCGGCGGACGCAAACTCTGTGTCCGGTAGATCACGAGATCCCCGGTCCTGCGGTGCATGACTGCGTCTTTCAGAGGCGGTCCCGAATAGCAGGTCTCTTCGTATTTACCTCCTTACCAGGTAAAACACTGACTCGTGTATGTTCGTCTTGTGTGGATTGTGGCATAAATTATGTTAGAGTGAAGTCGGTCACCCCAGCGAGTGAGAGAGGAAACCACCGCATGCTTCGCTCATGTGCGGCTTTGTAAATATACCGCTTTTAAGCCAAGTATTTTTTCCTGTGCACAGATGATGTGGCAGTACTTCTCGTCTTCATTCACAGCTCCCCTGCTGCTTGCTCTGCAGTCGATGTTGCCTGGGATACATTAAGCCATAACACATCGATAGGAAAACCTTGCATACAAAGCTCTGGTTCTCTTCTGTCTGAGGCTAATCCTTCGCATGCATGTTGCAGACCAACTTGGAATATGTCCCTCTGAGGGAGAGAGAGAGCTGATCTGAATTGCGCTTAAAGAAGATTCCAATATGTCAAGCACTCAGAGAGACAATGGCTCTGCAAACTCCACAGAAGCCAAGAAAACAGACCCCAGAGTCAACGAGAAAAAATGCTGTAAGTAAACACCAATTAGATTTTAGTAGGTTTTAATTCATGCATCGCTGCTTATAGAGTGTGCAGGTGCACTTGTAACATAAAACCTTGTTTTGTTGCTCTGACCAAATCACAATCACCTCAGTGAAAGGAAAGCTGCTTCATTTAGTCTCCAGCCTACCAGGGAGTGAGTTTCTCTGGATTGGCAAAAAAAGGAAAAAGAATATAAATCATGACCAGTGATAAAAATACTTTGAAACCTTCAGTGGTTTCTGCTATTCTTAAGAAAATTACTTCTCTCTCCCAGGATGTTTCTCCTTCTAATTTCTTCGGATGACATCTCTGAACCCACTCCACAGATATTTGTGTCCAAAGAGACTTTTTATTTTTTGTGTATACACGTGACCTAGTTATATAAGACTGGCTGTTCACGAGTGTGTGCAGCATTGGCATGCCTGTTTAAAATATGTTTTTCTCTATTGTAATGCTGGTTATGAGTCAGATATGATTTGCATTTAACTTTGACTTTCAGTACTTTGCATCTCTTTCCTGCACAGCATGGGCTTCTTACATGACAAACTCTCCAACGGTGATCGTGATGATCGGATTGCCCGCTAGAGGAAAGACCTACATCTCCAAGAAACTCACACGTTACCTCAATTGGATAGGAGTCCCAACCAAAGGTAGAACATAACATTTCTTTCTCATTATGTTTCAGTTAATGCCATCTGCAAATTTAAAAAATTTCATAGTGTGTTTTATTGAACTTTCATATGCTTTCAATCCTTCTTTGTATTTCTTTTTACTTCTTTGTAGAAGTTAAACCAGGATAGTTAATTAGTTAATGTTGGAAAGAAACTCTAAAGATCATGAAAAACAGCATCAGTGTTATCTCTTCTCCAGCACTTATGCATGCATTATATATGTCACAAAAACGAGTAGCAGTGACATTAGAATGACAGCAAAATGTTTAAATGCAAAAGCTGAATTTTTAAACCTCCCCCCACTGACATTGTGCGTGCATAATCAATATTTAAATGTAACTAGTCTAAACTGATCCCACAAAGAGAAGCTAAATTTAGCCACTTAAATTCTTGTGGTTTTAGTTGTTCACTAGAACAAAAGTATATCCAAGTGTATCCAAAATGAGAGGCGACAGCACAGCCAGGGCAGATTTATAACGTCCTTTGTTCATTTTTCAGTGTTTAACTTGGGCGTATACCGCAGAGAGGCTGTCAGAGCTTATAAGTCCTATGATTTCTTCCGCCACGACAATGAAGAAGCCATGAAAATAAGGAAGTAAGGTTCACTTTTACACATGTGCCCACAATACATTTTTACAATGTACATTGCATTTTATCTAGCACTAAGAAAACTGTCATATCCTCACTGGCTGTGTCACATTTCTTGCATTCAACCTTAGTCGGTTTCATATTTTGCAGATTTCCCTGCTGCATCAGTGACTAAGCTGTTTTTTTTGGCCGGCAGTCAGTATTCAGCCACAGTCAGCTTAAACTGATATACACATACACACAAGCAGCAAAGTGTGCCCTACAGATGGTTGTGATTAGTGACTGTAAATCAGTGTTTCAACAGAAAGATTAACAAAGAACAAAACAAAAGGCCTCTTTTCCTCCTGGTCTAATCTGGTAGTAGTGATTGAAATGGACTGTGTTATGCATGGCTATCATGAAAATGTGACAGGCTCTTGACAGCATCCTAGTGCTGACTTTGACCCAGATATTAAACAAGCTGCCGCTGTCACTCTGAAGCTGATACAAGCCCTCTGTGGACCTGCATGCATATCCAGCCTGAGGTTTTGTGTTTGTTATTATAAAGTATCAACAAGACCAGTTTAAAGGAATAGTTCCACGTGAAATCTACCTTTTTCTTATGAGTTAACTAAAAACTGGAGCTCAGCTGTGTGGTGTATTGGCAACTTTAGAAATAAAGTTTTAAAATACGGATTTGTACTTGAACTAATAATTGTGTCCTTCAGACTTCTCCTTTTGTATAAAGAGTTATCCATTGGCAGTAATCACAGGTTTGCACACCTTTTGTATTCAAGCTGTTAATTAATCTGGAGAAATTTCACCCCATGCTTCCTGAATTTCCTCCCACGAGTTAGATAAATGTTTGCACTGCACAATCAACCTGTTCCCACAA